CGTCACTCTCGTTCAGAGACCATTTTTTAACCATTTTTTACACTAACTTGGAGACGAAATAGAAAGGTATTGTCTGCACAATAAATGTAGATGAACATCTTAAGTATACAGAAAAAAATAGAATGAGACTGAATTCCACGTTGTAGTGGTGTTGCAGCCGCTGTTTCCCACACTGTTCAAGCGCATCCACTCTCTGCCCAACCACGGCAGCCCTATATAAATATCACCATTTCTCGTTCAGCGACCGTCACTCTCGTTCAGAGACCATTTTTTAACCATTTTTTACACTAACTTGGAGACGAGATAGAAAGGTATTGTCTGCACAATAAATGTAGATGAACATCTTAAGTATACAGAAAAAAATAGAATGAGACTGAATTCCACGTTGTAGTGGTGTTGCAGCCGCTGCGTCCCACACTGTTCAAGCGCATCCACTCTCTGCCCAACCACGGCAGCCCTATATAAATATCACCATTTCTCGTTCAGCGACCGACACTCTCGTTCAGAGACCATTTTTTAACCATTTTTTACACTAACTTGGAGACGAAATAGAAAGGTATTGTCTGCACAATAAATGTAGATGAACATCTTAAGGATACAGAAAAAAATAGAATGAGACTGAATTCGACGTTGTAGTGGTGTTGCAGCCGCTGCGTCCCACACTGTTCAATTGACAGACAGCCACATACAACATTTGGCACAAAATGGGATTGACATAATGTATGTTATAAATTCAAAAGTACCCTATTTGTAATCTTCACAACATATTGAACAACTACATGAATAAAGACCCTCAAAGCAGCCCTGAATACAGAACAGACGCCAGTGATTCCGGATAACATGACTGTGAAGACCCTCCCTGAAGCCCTCACTACAGAACAGATGCCAGTCAGTCATGATAACATGACAATCAAGACCCTCGAAGCAGCCCTCGCGACAGAACAGATGCCAGTGAGCCAGAATAACATGAGAATCAACACCCTCAAAGCAGCACTCACTACAGAACAGATGCCAGTCAGTAAGGATAACATGACAATCAATATCTTCACTAAAGCCCTAAGTTCAGAACACATGCCAGTGAGTCAGGATAACATGACAATCAAAACCCTCCCAGAAGCAGGAAAACATGACAATAAAGACCCTAACAGCAGCCCTGACTTCAGAACAGATGCCAGTCAGTCAGGATAACATGACAATCAAAACCCTCACAGAAGCGCTCACGAAAGAAGAGATGCCAGTCAGTAAGGATACCATGACAATCAAGTCCCTCTCTGAAGCCATGGCTACAGAACAGGCGCCAGTGAGTGAGGACAACATGACAGTGAAGACCCTGCCGGAAGCCCTACCTACAGAACAGATGCAAGTCAGTCAGGATAACATGACAATCAAGACCCTCTCTGAAGCCATGGTTACAGAACAGGTGCCAGTGAGGATAACATGACAGTGAAGACCCTCACAGAAGCCCTACCTACAGAACAGATGCCAGTCAGTCTGGATAACATGACAATTAACACCCTTAAAGAAGCCCTCACTACAGAACAGATGCCAGACAGTCAGGATAACATGACAATCAAGACCCTCTCTGAAGCCCTCACAACAGAACAGACGACAGTGAGTGAGGATACCATGACAATCAAGACCCTCACAGCAGCCTCAAAACAGAACAGATGCCAGTCAGTCAGCATAACAGGACAATCAAGACCCTCTCTGAAGCCCTCACTACAGAACAGACTACAGTGAGTGAGGATACCATGACAATCAAGACCCTCACAGAAGCCCTGACTACAGAACAGATGCCAGTCAGTGAGGATAACATGACAATCAAGACCTTCCCAGAAGCCCTCACTACAGAACAGATGCCAGTCAGTCAGCATAACAGGACAATCAGGACCCTCACAGAAGCCCTCACTAAAGAACAGATGCCAGTCAGTAAGGATACCATGACAATCAAGACCCTCTCTGAAGCCCTCACAACAGAACAGACGACAGTGAGTGAGGATACCATGACAATCAAGACCCTCACAGCAGCCTCAAAACAGAACAGATGCCAGTCAGTCAGCATAACAGGACAATCAAGACCCTCACAGAAGCCCTCACTAAAGAACAGATGCCAGTCAGTAAGGATACCATGACAATCAAGACCCTCTCTGAAGCCATGGCTACAGAACAGGCGCCAGTGAGTGAGGATAACATGACAGTGAAGACCCTGCCAGAAGCCCTACGTACAGAACAGATGCCAGTTAGTCTGGATAACATGACAATTAACACCCTTAAAGAAGCCCTCACTACAGAACAGATGCCAGACAGTCAGGATAACATGATAATCAAGACCCTTACAGAAGCCTCAAAACAGAACAGATGCCAGTCAGTCAGCATACGGGACAATCAAGACCCTCTCTGAAGCCCTCACTACAGAACAGATGCCAGTCAGTCAGGATAACATGACAATCAAGACCCTCACAGAAGCCCTCACTACAGAACAGATGCCAGTCAGTGAGGATAACATGACAATCAAGACCTTCCCAGAAGCCCTCACTTCATAACAGACGCCAGTGAGATTGATAAAATGACAATAACAACCATCCCAGAAGCCCTGACTACAGAACAGATGCCAGTCAGTCAGGATAACATGACAATCAAGACCCTGAAAGCACCTGTCAATACTGAACAGATGCCAGTCAGTAAGGATAACATGACACTCAAGACAATGCCAGAAGCCCTCAGTACAGAACAGACGCCAGTCAGTGAGGATAACATGACAATCAATACCCTCACAGAAGCCCTGACTACGGAAGAGATGCCAGTCAGTCAGGGTAACGAAGACCCTCTCTGAAGCCTTCACTACAGAACAGATGCCAGTCAGTCATGATACCATGAAAGTGAAGACCCTCCAAGAAGCCCTGACTACAGAACAGATACCAGTGAGTGAGGATAACATGACAATCAAGACCCTCACAGCAGCCCTCACTACAGAACAGATGCCAGTCAGGATACCATGACAATCAAGACCCTCACAGCAGCCCTCACTACAGAACAGATGCCAGTGAGTAAGGAAAAACATGACAATCAAGACCCTCAAAGAAGCCCTCAATACAGAACAGATGCCAGTCAGTGAGGATAACATGATAACATCAAAACCCTTACAGAAGCCCCCACTATGGAAAGATGCCACTCCTCTCAGGATAACATGACAGTGACGATCATCTCTGAAGCCCTGACTACAGAACAGAATGCCAGTCAGTCAGGATAACATGACACAAGACCCTCACAGAAGCCCTCACAACTGAACAGATGCCAGTCAGCAAGGATAACATACCAATCAAGACCCTCAAAGCGGTTCTCACTACAGAACAGATGCCAGTCAGTGAGGATAACATGACAATCAAGACCTTCCCAGAAGCCCTCACTTCATAACAGACGCCAGTGAGATTGATAAAATGACAATAACAACCATCCCAGAAGCCCTGACTACAGAACAGATGCCAGTCAGTCAGGATAACATGACAATCAAGACCCTGAAAGCACCTGTCAATACTGAACAGATGCCAGTCAGTAAGGATAACATGACACTCAAGACAATGCCAGAAGCCCTCAGTACAGAACAGACGCCAGTCAGTGAGGATAACATGACAATCAATACCCTCACAGAAGCCCTGACTACGGAAGAGATGCCAGTCAGTCAGGGTAACGAAGACCCTCTCTGAAGCCTTCACTACAGAACAGATGCCAGTCAGTAAGGATGGCATGACAATCAAGACTCTTAAAGCACCCCTCAATACAGAACAGATGCCAGTCAGTCATGATACCATGAAAGTGAAGACCCTCCAAGAAGCCCTGACTACAGAACAGATACCAGTGAGTGAGGATAACATGACAATCAAGACCCTCACAGCAGCCCTCACTACAGAACAGATGCCAGTCAGGATACCATGACAATCAAGACCCTCACAGCAGCCCTCACTACAGAACAGATGCCAGTGAGTAAGGAAAAACATGACAATCAAGACCCTCTCTGAAGCCCTCACAACAGAACAGACGACAGTGAGTGAGGATACTACGACAATGAAGACCCTCACAGCAGCCTCAAAACAGAACAGATGCCAGTCAGTAAGGATGACATGATAATCAAGACCCTCAAAGTGGTCCTCACTACAGAACAGATGCCAGTCAGTCAGCATAACAGGACAATCAAGACCCTCTCTGAAGCCCTCACTACAGAACAGATGCCAGTAAGTCAGGATAACATGACAATCAAGACCCTCACAGCAGCCCTCACTACAGAACAGATGCCAGTCAGGATAACATGACAATCAAGACCCTCACAGCAGCCCTCACTACAGAACAGATGCCAGTGAGTAAGGAAAAACATGACAATCAAGACCCTCAAAGAAGCCCTCAATACAGAACAGATGCCAGTCAGGATAACATGACAATCAAGACCTTCAAAGTGGCCCTCACTATATAACAGATGCCAGTCAGGATAACATGACAATCAAGACCCTCACAGAGGCCCTCAATATAGAACAGATGCCAGTCAGTGAGGATAACATGACAATGAAAACCCTCCAAGAAGCACTCACTACAGAACAGACGGCAGTAAGTCACGATTTCATGACCAAAAAGACCCTCACAGCATCCCTCACTACAGGACAGATGCCAGTCAGTAAGGATAACATGACAATGAGACCCTCTCTGAAGACCTCACAACAGAGCAGATGCCAGTCAGTGAGGATAACATCAAAACCCTCACAGAAGCCCCCACTATGGAAAAGATGCAACTCACTCAGGATAACATGACAGTGACGATCATCTCTGAAGCCCTGACTACAGAACAGAATGCCAGTCAGTCAGGATAACATGACACAAGACCTCACAGAAGCCCTCACAACTGAACAAATGCCAGTCAGCAAGGATAACATACCAATCAAGACCCTCAAAGCGGTTCTCACTACAGAACAGATGCCAGTAAGTGAGGATAACATGACAATCAAGACCTTCCCAGAAGCCCTCACTTCATAACAGACGCCAGTGAGATTGATAAAATGACAATAACAACCATCCCAGAAGCCCTGACTACAGAACAGATGCCAGTCAGTCAGGATAACGAAGACCCTCTCTGAAGCCTTCACTACAGAACAGATGCCAGTCAGTAAGGATGGCATGACAATCAAGACCCTCAAAGCATCCCTCAATACAGAACAGATGCCAGTGAGTGAGGACAACATGACAATCAAAACCCTCACAGAAGCCCTAACAACGGAAGAGATGCCAGTCAGTCAGCATAACATGACAATGAAGACCCTCTCTGAAGCCCTTACTACAGAACAGATGCCAGTCAGGATAACATGACAATGAAAACCCTCCAAGAAGCACTCACTACAGAACAGACGGCAGTGAGTCACGATTTCATGACAAAAAAGACCCTCACAGCATCCCTCACTACAGAACAGATGCCAGTCAGTAAGGATACCATGACAATCAAGACCCTCACAGCATCCCTCACTACAGAACAGATGCCAGTCAGTAAGGATACCATGACAATCAAGACCCTCACAGAAGCCCTCACTACAGAACAGATGCCAGTCAGTAAGGATACCATGACAGTCAAGACCCTGCCAGAAGCCCTCACTACAAAACAGATGCCAGTCAGTAAGGATACCATGACAGTCAAGACCCTGCCAGAAGCCCCCACTACAAAACAGATGCCAGTCAGTGAGGATAACATGACAGTCAAGACCATCACAGCAGCAGCTCTCACAACAGAACAGATGCCAGTCAGTGAGGATAACAGGTGACTAAAGATTGTGCCAGAAGCCCTCACTACAGAACAGATGCCAGTCACTCAGGATAACAGGTGACTAAAGATTGTGCCAGAAGCCCTCACTACAGAACAGACGCCAGTCACTCAGGATAAAAGGTCAATCAAGACCGTGCCAGAAGCCCTAGATACAGAACAGATGCCAGTGAGGAAAACAGGATGATAAAAAAAAGGTTATGGCTCACAATAAGTGAAGCTAACAGGACAATAAAGAATGGTTCAAGCTTATGCTTGGGAGATGTTTTTCTGTGCTATAATGATAGGGTAGAGAGATGAACTTTATAAATGACACATTTTAACAATTTTTTGGGCCAGATACCCTGGGCCTCCACGTGGCCTGGCCTGGAAACTATCACATTCATGAATGAAATGCTGATAGCATTACATCAGAATGGGATAGGCTAACACAGGGTGATTGAACGTTTTTATCATATGCCTTAAGACAATATGTAAAGGGAATGCAAAACAGAATTAAGGAAATATAAAGGTTACTTCCATGATGAGTTAAATAGAAACTTTTAAAGCATGTATCAGTAAACACAAGAAATACATGTACTTAAAATTAGAAATGAACTTGCTCCTTTATGTCACTGTATGTACACTTTTAACGATGAAATTAAATATTTTGTCAATTGTTTCATGCAAAAAGTTCACTATAATAAGATGGAGTGACACCTATGTGTTTAACATGACAAAACACATTGTTTTACGAGTATTATTAGAACAAGCTAAATATTTGTATTGAGTGGGAAATAAAACTGGGCATTACAAAAACAATAATGACCAGGGACTGACTGTTTTTAATGTTTTCGGATAAAAATGGGACAGAAATTATTTTTTTTGTAAACATTTCTTACATAGGGAAAATACTGAAAATAAATATACTAAGCAGCAAAAGAAACATCAGTTTGGAATTTTCCTCTGTATAATCATATAACTGTAAACTCATTTAATGTTTTGATTGTATATTTTTGACAACATCTCAACTTTATCTGAGCAAAGACATTCCTTCCCAAACTCAGAACTGAACCCAGGAAATGGTGTCAAAAACGCAACCTGATTTCGGAGATGGTATGGTGTTCTCCATGTTTTTCATGCAACTCATGTTGCACGTACTGTTCACAAGGACCATCCCTGTAAAATGCACCCCCAAACCTGGTTGAAACATTCACATTACAACATCAACAGGATGCTGCGACTCACGACAGCTCAGAGGAACCAGGCGCTAGGAAGACTTGAAGCTGGCCACACTGCACAAGCCGTTGCCGATCACTTCCAGGTGAACGTTCGGACCATCTACAGGCTGCAGCAAAGTTTCCGGGCCACCAACACCACAAATGATCGCCTCAGTACTGGCAGACCAAGGGTGACCGCAAGACGACAAGACCACCATGTAGTGCGACAGCATGTACAGAATACCTTCATGCAGGCATCCGAAACAGCACGCTAGACAGTGGGAACACACGGGAGACCAATCAGTACTTATACAGTATGCCGACATCTTAACAGCGGGAATTTCCATTGCCATAGACCTTACCGTGGACCTATACTCACCCTTATCATCGGCGTCAACGTCTACAGTTTGCCCTACAACACCAAAACTAGCGATACAGGCAATGGAGAACTATTCTGTTCACAGATGAGAGTCGGTACTGCCTATCAACTGCAGAAGGCAGAACAAAATATGGAGACGACATGGCCAGCGTTACTCAGACCAATGTGTTATGGAAAGAGACTCATGAGGAGGTGCAAGCTTCATGGTATGGGATGGAATAGGCCTGAACTGGAGAGTGGGTTCTGTTGTGTTTCAGAACCTTGGTCCAGGGAGAGGAGGCAGCATCACAGCGGTGCGCTACATCGACCAAGCTCTCAGACCCCACATCATACCACATTTCTCACGTCACCGGAACAACATTTTACAGCATGATAACGCCCAGGCACATACTGCCAGAGCTACATGGGACTTCCTACAGCAGAACTGTGTCAACATTATGCAGTGGCCAGCCCTTAGTCCTGATTTAAACCCACCTGAACATCTTTGGGATGAAATTCAGAAGAGACTGAATAATGTCATACCAAGGCCGAACACAGCTGATTTATTGCGCCAGGCCTTTCTGAGAGTGAGGTTCCAGGTGCCAATGGCCTTCATCAATCGATTGGTGCACTCCATGCATAGACGCTGTGCTGCAGTTATTGCCGCTTGTGGTGGTCACACTAGATACTGAAGTCAAGAGTATGAATGGACTGCAAACGTTCACGTAATGTCTTGAAATTGTGCTGAGTTATTCATTGATGTGTCAAGATATTGTACACAAAAAATGTTTTTGATCTGCTTATTATGTCCATTTCTGTAATGATTTGATTACAGTGCCTGTCTGATTTTGAATTCGTACTGACAGGTTTGTTTGCTGCTGAGTATAGAATGAAATGCTGAAAGAGTAGAGAGAAAACAAATGGAAATATAAGTTAAGAAGATGAGGTGAGACATGTACAAGTACATAAGTAAACTCCTAACTAGTTTGATTAATGATTATGGCCATATGATGATGGATGGGAAAGTATCCTAGAGTATCAGGTAAATGAGGTGCCAAGTTCAAGCTGTATTGCTTTGATAAGTATGATTACCGTATGTTATGGAGATGCTAATACACCCTTTTGTTGCAGGGTACCTGGGATGATAATGTTTGCCACTGGACTGCTGATGTTGTGTACTAGGGGGAGTTGATTAGAGGACTAGTGTGTTGGCCACTTGGAATACCAACCGGTACACCTGAGGGAGGTGTTTCAAGGACCAATGAGATGTACACCTGTGTGTGGGAAGTGGGAATATTCCCATGACCGACAGGCCGACCTCAGAGTATCAGCAGCAAAATTATGTATCTCATTATTGTGAATTTCTGCTTGCATTAATAAATGTGTATGTATAAGTTTATTGTGCTCTGTTCTGATTCAGGTGACACTTGGGGAATATCATCACTGGCCACATTGATACTTGTGCAATTGGTGCATGTTGGGGTATATGGGTGGGACAGAATGTCGTACCAGCCAAGATTCAAGAATTATTACCTTAAGTATAAGGACATCACATAGAAACAAACCACACTGATGAGTTCATAAAATGTTATTAGTGAGCACACTGGGCCTCATATTGGGTGATGTTTTGACTGCTACATATGGTTGGGGATGGATGGCTTGGACATCGCTTTGTTTGTGATAAGCTGACCAATATTGTAGATCTAAGACAACACAAGGATATTATACAAAGTATGTCAATACGTTTTGTGCACTGGAGGTGTTGTAGACACAAGGCATTTCAGTATTCTGTAGAGTTGGATGATTGGCTCTGTCAGCTATGTGGCACACATTAGTATACTTGAACTGTGGAAACATTTCAGCAAATTAAGAGGAGAGTGTTTTGTTAGGTCAGTTTGATAAGTTGTGTGCGATATCTGTGAATGCCAACTGTGCCATAATGGAGTTGGGCATCACTATGTTTCATTAGTCCTGAGACATGGCACACTTAAAAATAATTCTGACTCAGTACCCAGATTTGTATATAAGGGTGGGATTTGTTCAGTGAAATTGAGGATGAAGGTTAATGCTGTTGTTCCAGAGTTGGCTGGTTGGATTGAAGTTTAATGTTACACTCAGCAATAGTCAAGCAACTGCATTTACTACTGGAGGATGTATGAGTATACATGTAACATGACAGATTCACTGACAGAGTTATGCTAGCCAAAAGTGAAACTGTTGAAACTAAAGTTAGGTGTTTATTCTTTGGGAAACAAATTATGGATGTGCATCTGTTTAAATTATGTAAATTCATGTTATAAAGTTTAATGTAATTTGACAAAAATGGGAACATCATTTTGCCATAAATAAGGTAGTTTATATTAACATCATGTGATGATATATGAGAGGTAAAGAATGATGTATGACAAAATCTGAGAGAAAATGGAAATTCATGAACAATTACTTAGTTTTGTAATTAAAAGTCAAAAGCTTGATTAGTATGTACAGTACTACGTACATACCAGAAGCAGTATGCGAAATAGCCTCTGGCCCACTAGCCCTTGGCGGCTAGTAAAAATCCAGGTGGGCCAGTAAATCTACAGTCATTGGCTCGACTGGCTGATGAATTTTCATTGGGTGATTTTGTAAATATATCACTGTCTCCGACTTGTTAAGATATAATAAACTTCAAAATCATGCAAGATTATGGCCTGATAAAAATGTTCATCATATTAGCAGCTGAATGATGAAACCCATGTCTACATTCAAATTTCGGACTTGTACATTATTTTGTTGGCTAGTAACTTTCAGGCACAGCTAGCCCGACTGGCTAGCAAAATTTGGAAACAATTTCGCACACTGACCAGAAGCAAACTTCATGGCACACTATGCACTATTACCCACTGTGAGTGAGTGAGTTAATATGTAACGTCACAGCGGCAATATCTCAGCCATATCAGGATGAAAACAATTTATACTGTAAAGATGAAAACATTATGAAGCATGTATCCTGTAAGTTTCAGATGTCTGCCTGACCCATTGAAAATTCACAGGACCCATAGAATAAAATTAAACATACATTTTAGATTGAACATTTGTTATAATTGGTATTGAAATTATTAACAAACATAAGATTTATGAGCATCAAACAAGTGTCACATGTCACATATAACAACTTCAGTCAAAGTCATTGTGAAATATTCAGTCAGACACTGGGGCCGGCAGGTTGTAGACTTCTATCGGACCGTTGGCGAATCTGCCGGATTTGTCAGAGGGTCAGACGCTATTCGTGAACACTGATGAAGAGTAAAATTAGTCAACAATGGACAGTAAAAATAATACAGTATCACAGATATAAATATAACTTGTACATAAAACTAAAACATTTTGATTAAAGAAGACAATACAATATAAAACACGGGCTATAGATTATTACCCACTGTATTAAGCCAGCAAGACAGACACACAATGCATGTAAATTCAGGATAATATATAACAATATAGCAAAGTTGACTGTTGTATGGTTTTAGCTTTGTGTATTGGCCTATTGCTTTGTTATTTAAAGAATTCATACAACAAACAAATTTCAAGGTTGGTATGGGGGGGAACCATGATGTATAGGCAGGGCTCCAGACAAGGGCCGTATCGGCCTAATACGGATATAAAATAATCACGATACGGTAGGAAATAATTTAGAAAACATACATTGTACATACCACAGCAGTGGTGTACAGTGTTAAAATCATTTACAGACGTTTTATCTGAAAAAGTATTGTTTTATTGTTTATTGACCTGTTTACACCAGAGTAGCAATGTTGTTGTGCATATATGAAACAGAACACAAGATTACTGATACTCCATTAATTTCCATTCAGTATTCTAAATGTACTTTAATTGTTTTCCTGTACTTCTATACTGAAAGAATAAGGAGTACATACTCCTGATCATGAAACATTATCTGGGGCCCTGTATAGGTTGATAGTTTTTCTAAGCTATAAGCTGGCTATTGTAAACTAGTGATGGATTTTACACACACTATTCACAGATAAGTAAATTAACTGTAAAATATACTAAATTCAATATCTTCCTCTTACTCTTTTATGAAGTACTACCTTTACAAACATACATATATGTCAGTTAAATTGTTTTGATTTAATTATAGAGTACAGGGTAATGACAACAATTGACATATATAACAAGTGAAAACATAACAATAGGTTCCTGACAGGTTGCTTTTTCTCCTTCACTGGGATCGTGGCGTATGGCTAGAGTTTGATGTGTCCATGGATGTACATATCGACAGACTGTGTAAAACCTGCTAATTCATTGGTGCAGGATTGGAAACATACAGAAGTACATCACAAAAGAAAGTGCGAAGATTCTACTCAGATGTATAATTTCCTACAGAGTAGATTACTGCAATGGACTGCTTGTAGGTAATAACAGGGTTCAGCTTAAAAGCAGGACTCCAGATAAGGGCCGTATCGGCGTATGTACGGATAAAAAATATGCACGATACGGAAGGAAATAATTTAAAAAAACGTAGCAGATACGCACCATAACCATGGTGTACGGTCTTAGAATCATTTACAGACGTATTTTTCTGAAAAAGTATTGTTTTATTGTTTATTGACCTGTTTACACAAGAGTAGCAATGTTGTGGTGCATACATGAAACGAAACACAAGACTACTGATACGCCATTAAATTCCATTTAGTACTCTAAATGTACTCTTAAGTTTAGTACTCTAAATGTACTCTTAAGTTTTTTCCGTACTCCTGTATTGAAAAATCAAGGAGTACGTACTCCTCACATTGAAAAATTATCTGGAACCCTGTAAAAGAGTGCAGAAAATACAGAATACTGCTGCCTGCATCATTTTGTTATTAGTGCCGTGTTCATATAACCTCACTGGCTACCCATTGAATAACATCAACTTTAAAGTTCGCTGCACCATATACAAATGCATCCACAACCATACTACCTAACTGACTTGATCACTGTATACACACCAGCCAGAACTTTTCGATCTCACAACCAGCCCCAAGACTACTGAATTGACTACCAGTAAACATCAAAGACTCTGATTCTCTGACAGCTTTCAAATAACAACTGATGACTTACTTTTTTTCCTCTGTATATACTGACTCTTTTCCTCTTTCCCCTGCGCTTTGAGCTTGCACTAGTGTGAGGATTATAGTGCATAAGAAATGGCCATTATTATTTATTATAAATACTACTTATTTAGAACAATGTTCATTCTTATTACTATTTTGAAGAAATTATTTTACCTGTTGTGAGAAACATTACTTGAAGCACCCTTCCAAAACATGATGTACTTTATTTCCAATACTAGAATGAGACAAAGGGTGATATCAATATTATTGGTGAAACATTACAACAGTATGAGTTTAGACAGATACAGGTTAAGGAGCTCTTTTCTGTATGGCACAATGACAAGCATCTCCCAAATCATGTTTAAAATTGTAACAACATAAAATTGCTAATTACTACCCAACCTAGAAGAATGAGTTAATATAAAAACTATTTAGAATTGTTCCAATTAATATTAAAAGTATGAAGATTTAATATTTAGGATCAATGTATTAATTTGAAGATAAACATTTTACAAAATAGTAACATTAACTAAGTGCATTGACATTATTGTGTGAAATGATTACACAAAGTAGAATGAATATACATAGATGACAATATAATGACAAGGCCAGTGTGATGACCAAAAGAGAAGCCATTTAAGTGTAACGGAGGTGTAGTGACTGGGCTGCGTATAAAGTGCCGTGGGTATACCGTAACAAGGAAATTCCTATGGTGACACTAACATAACCGCAAAAATTATTTCCATTTGTGATTTATTTATGATAAGATAAAAAATAAACGTTCAAACTAAAGAATAAAATAAAGGTAGTTATACATAAAAAAGTTTACTGTGTTAATGAAACAATGATACTAACTTTTCTTGAAGGCAAATGTAAAAAGACAAGAAACGTTTAACGTTACTGTCGTTACCATAACCGTACGGTAGCTGGGTACTGTCTATTAAAGTTGACAAGGATGTACGTATGGCTAGCGGCTTCACAAGTACATGTACATGACGCCCGCCACATTTAACCTATATACAGATTAACAACACAAACACACAAACGATATTACGCTTGGTGACACTGGAATACCGATGTTGACCACGCTGGCACTGTGTGATTGATACAACTTTACAACGCTAACTGACTGACAACAAAAACTTTGTAATATTACACGCGAGATGTGGCTGTTAGGGTGAATTGCCTCCCTTGAATATACTACAGTCGATAAAACGAACACATGCACACGGTCTCTGAATGGTTTTTCAAAATATAGAAGTTGAATTGCGAAGCGGAATAAAAAAATCACCTCTTAAATCTATAAACATTGCAAAGATATTGCCTATGGTATTGTTATCATTTTAGTCTTAAATTTAGATAATTGTTTACACCTTGTAGGGTTTCCAAACGTACTGGGATGTGTTGATGGCACGTTCATAAGGATCATTGCCCCAAATAAAGCTGAAGGTGACTATGTGAACAGAAAGGGATTTCATTCACTCAATGTTCAGGTGAGTTCATGTGTTAAAATTCTTCAAGTTAAAAACATATTCCATACTGAAAATTGTTCATATTCCTAGAACCGAATATTAAAAATAAATTGTAATGAATTTGTATTAAAATTAATTCATGATTATTTTATTGTAATTTTTCACATCATAGTACATGAAAACTAATTTTGATTATCAAATATAATTATTAGTTTACTTTAACTACATGTTATGGAATTAACATTCAACCCAAATATTACATTTACACAACAAATTGTTATTTTCTTGTGGCAGATGATCTGTGATGCACAGTTTAGAGTTACCAACTGTGTGGCTAAATGGCCTGGAAGTGTGCATGACAGTAGAATTTTCCGGGACAGTCAAATCAGTGTGGCATTCGAAAATGGTACGTATAAACTTTGCTTATATTGATATTTATGTAACTGTTCTATCAATCCAGGATATGACACTGCATAATGTATCATCACACCTCTAGTATTAACAGCGATGAGAATACATTTAATAATTTCATGTGAATGCCATTGTGAATGTACTCATATAACAGGGGTATCTCGTGAAGATTTAGTAATGACGAATACTTGTGAAGGGTTTAGAGATTTATTGTCTGGGATTTGATGATCCCTCACAGTAGATCTTGTGACAAAACCCTTGAAACAAAACAGAAACAAATTACTGGTGTACAGCAACAAGTATCTTTAAGTAAACATACAATTACATTTAACATTTTCTGAACACAACAAGGCTTACTTAATATATATATATACATCTAAGCATATATCACAAATTGTAGTCATACAGATGAAAATCTAAGAATAAAATTAACCTCGTCTCAGAGACGCAGGTACTACACAGTGATAAGCCACCAGTGGCCAATGAGTGTATTTAATACCTAATAATAACATAACACAATGAAATACAATATATATTACACACACACACACACACAGAGTGTTTCTCATACCAACCATAATATGCACCTAACATATGCACTACAGTCCACATAACCTAACATGTCATAGGATTATGTACATAATAATCCAACAACTCACACAAGACTTAGTGTAACTACCCAATAACACTAAATACTAATTAAATCATATTTAACTATTTGATATAGAATTATAATGATTACCCAGCTATACTAAAACACCATATCAACAGTCTTTGATGAGTTACAGGTCGTAGGTTGATCAGGAAAGGATCTATTCTTCGATTCTGCAGGGTTCAGATTAGACAGTCAGTCAAGTATTACCCACTGTCACTTCAAATTTCAACCTTTAAGCAAAATGTAAACACTGGCTCAGTCCGCCATTTCAAACTGTTGCGTAACTGTCTACTTCAAGAAAATAAGTAGGTCAGGCGATTCCATTATAGTGTGGCCAGGGGTACAGTTTCACGGCACACAAAACAATAGGCTGGTTTTAGTGGGTGTGGAGTTGGGATGAAAAAACCCCAAGATCTCGGGTATTACATAATTTAATTGCATTGATTAAACAGTAGTTTGATTTCTTTGGACAGAATATTGTTATGTTGTAATGTTTAAAAATCTGAGCGGCACCTACCGCTCCTTCACAGACGAGTTCAATTAGCCTCTCGTCCCATGCGGATTACGCAGTGTCTTCCTTGCAGGCGAGGAAGTTCGATTTTAAATGGTTCATGGTAGAATGGAGATAACCCTAGTGTGTTTGAAAATCAGAGACATGCTTTACTGAATTGATGGCGACTAAATTTCAATTGGAACCCGAGCGGCGTGGCGTGGCACTAAATATATCAATTGAAACCTCACGCTCTGGCGTTTCGGTTCCAATTGAAATTTAGTAAGCCATCAATTCAGTAAAGCATGTCTCTGATTTTCAAACACACTAGGTTTATCTCTCTAATTGATATGTTTCTGAAATAGCATAAGAATCTTACAAAACACTGTCATATTGGCATTTATGACTATATTACATTTACATTTCGAAAAATCTACTACTACATGTACAAAATAAGCCTGACCTCCCTACTACTAGCTATGAATTGCCAAAGACATAAAACCAAATCATATTAGGAATTTCAAAATTAAATTACCTACTATGAATCACTTTTTGTAATAAGATCATATCATTAACATACATATTCATGACAAGTCAAGTATCATTCACTTCATTCATTATTTGTATATTAAATTTATTAATATTTGTAATTATATTGTGTATGGGCCTTCAGTCTGTACTTGAAATTGTTATACAAGGCAGTGAAGGTATGTCTTCTATTAATTGTTATTTTCCAATCAGTCACTTTCCCTTTTGCAATTATGATTGTTTATTGAATACTTTTTCTTACCTCTCTGCTTTATATTAGCATATTGCTTCTTCACCTCCTCCACAGTTCTTTTTACAAAATTGGATTTCCTGGAACAACAATATTATGATATGAAGAATTTTCACCTATGCTTAAATTATTGTCACTCATTTAATATTTACAAGTGTCCATCTGTTCTATTTCTTTGGTCATTTTCTGAACATAGTTATTTTTTATTTGGATTATTGAGACAGTCTAATAAACATTTTCTTGGATATTTTGAATTCCTTATGTGGTAGAGTTGAATAAAAAAGAGGATTTGAAATAATGTTGTGATTTTCACTTTTTTATACTATATATTTTTTTTAAAATCTAGACAATAATCATATTCAGTACACAAACAAATTTAAAAGAATTCATCATGATCAAATGTAACTAGATAACCATTGATCAGAGAATTATAATGACTAAATATTTGCCTCCAACATTTTATTCAAAATATATTATCTAGATCTAGCACAAGGAGATATAAAAATCTTTTTACTACGTTCCCAGGCCTGTAAAATAAGTTAATACGGCGTCATCTTTACAAATTCTGTAACAGATAAACCCGACTGATCCTTTAAATCTCAAGCACCGTCAAAAACTTGATATTCATGTCACTTCACTGTGCATATTTATGAAAAGAATTTCCTTATTAGCCAGGATATGATTTAAGAGTATGTTTATATCCGTGAATGATGAAAACGTAGGAGTTGTAGGTGATCGAAAATCGGACTCGACAGTGAGTAAGCGATCGGCATCTAACCATGCCAAGTTTCTATATCCATTTGTTTTGTTCGATATAAACAACCTGACTGCAACTTTTATCAGAAAGTATTTTTAGGTTGTGTTGATCGTGAATCATAAATTCAAGGCTACATTCTGAAATCGCTATCATATTCAACTTACATGTTGAGAGCTTCGGCTATCTCCATCCAGGCTTGCTCCTTCATCTTAGTCCCTTTGATGGAGCCACACCCCTTGAACTTAGATGACAGACGATCCAATCTTTTACTGACTTCCTCCACTAAAGATGTTTTTTCTTCCTCCGACCAATTTGGTCGCCGCTTGCCCTCAACCTTTGATGTATACATGGCTTCACGACAAGCGAGCAGATAGCAGACGATGTTGTTGTCATTAGAAACGGAAGTTACGGGCACTTCATGCCGCTAACAACATGGACAAAAAAATACTCAGCGATATCTCAAATCAAAACTCAGTTGAGTTTGAGTTGAGATTGTTTTGAGAAACGGAAAATTTGAGAAAACTCAACTGAGTCAAAATCTCAAACTCAGTTTGTAATTTGAGTAAAAACTTAAGTTTGTTTAGAGAAATCGGGGCCTGCAGGCCACATTTCTCTAAGATATTTTTTAACTTTCTAATTTGAGTATATTATATTTACGAAACGTTATCGAAAGCTAATTCCTATCGGATTCGTATGTATTTTTTATTACATGGTATACCCTGTGTAATGTTTCCAAGATCGAAGAACAACAGGAGAGGTCAGATTCCAGTCAATTTGTATTTCGCATTTGCACATATCATCGCATTCGCAGTCCAAAATTCAATCCCGTCGCGGGCAAACAGTCTCGCAATCATAACGACACAGACTTCAATGTTCGTGCTGGCTCTGTTAGTGCTACTGACTATAAAGTACGTGCAACATTATGCTGTATCAGAGTACACCATGACTTGGAAATTCGCAAACCACATCGCACTCATATTTTCCGCTCGCTTCAAGCATCCGTACACAAGGGAGCTAACTCCCATGTATCAAACTGTCAACCGCTAAAAACTTGCCGTTACACTCCCCACCAAATTAGAATCTCTAATTTTACATGAAAACCATTACAACTAATACGATAACCTGAGATACAATACCTGCATAATGTAATATCTTTGAAATTCAGACAAAGATAAATTCAAAATTCAATTCAATGGCAAATAAGGAAATGTCAATATGGTTCACTGAGTGTTCATTCATTGACAAGTCACAGTTCTAGGAAATGTTTTCGTTCAAACATCACAGTTCTTGGGAACTTCAAGTTCGGATTCAAGCAAAAGAATCAATTTGTGAATTGGCCGCTCTAGATATGTCACAGTGTTCATCGTTTTCCGTCATGAGACAGTGATGGGTCAGCCGATTGCTATCTTAACCTTGCGCACAAGGTTATCCTTACTCTTATAAACCTCATAGATCCTGCAGAGTCTCCAGAGGTTCGGAAGATTATCATCCTTCAGAAGAACAATGTAATGCCCGACTTGCGCCACTCTTCTAGAGCTTCCACTTCTGTCGTACTTTGCAATGTCTGAATGTATTCTCTCTTCCAGCTGCCAAAATTCATTGGACAGGTGTTGAGCGCGTCTCCACATCTTTCTGGAATAGGTGTCTGTCCTCTGGAAGTTGCCAGGTGGAGGTAGTATTAACTTTGATTTTGTCGTTAAGAAGATGGTTTGGAGTGAGTGGCTCCAATGATGTAGGATCATTCAAATTGTCAACTGCCAGAATACTGTTCACAATGGCCATTACTTACACATGAGGGTCCGTAAACCCTCATCATCAAGTTGTTCACTAGCTTGGTTCATGAGAGATGAAATTACTGATCTGACTGTTCTAATCTGCCTCTCCCATACTCCTCCCATATGGCTGGCAGAAGGCACATTCATCACAAAGGAGAAATAGTCACAATTCTGTTGATGGAGAAAGTCACTTACTGCTTTAGAGTCAATTCCGTGTAACTTCGTTCTGTGCTCCTACGAAATTTGTACCCTGGTCTGATCTGAGTTGCCGTGTCGGGCCACGCACCGTGATGAAGCGTCTCAGCGCATTTATGAAAGAATCTGTGGACACAGAGTTAGTAGTTTCGATGTGAATAGCACGACAACCAAAACAGGTGAAGAGAGCCCCATACCTCTTTACCCCTTTAGACCTTCCTTCACAAGAAAAGGTCCAAACATATCAACCCCACAATAGGTAAATGGTGGAGCTTCCTGCATCCTATCCTCGGGTAAGTCTGCCATTTTCTGGTCAAGTGTCGAGCTCCTCAGTTTTCTACACATAGCGCACTTAGAGATAAGGTGAGACACAGCTGAAGAACAGCCAATGATCCACAGTCCATTGGATCGTATTTCATTCACTGTCATTCCCCTTCCTTGGTGCCCAAGCTTCTGGTGGAAGTGTCTGACAATCATGTCGGTCACATGGTGCTTTCTGGAGAATGACTGGATGTTTAAAGCTGAAGGACAAGTTAGAGTTTTTGATCCGTCCACCAACACGCAGTACACCATCGCTGTCAATGTAGGGATCCAATCTACTGAGATTTGTGGAAGCTTTCAGGAACTTCTTTTGGTCCTTGAGCAACTTTCTGTCATCACGCATAACAGGCCTTTCCTGATCATCAAGCTCTTTCTTCGGTTTCAATATGGTGAATTCATTCTCAAATGATTCACGTTGTACTAACTTTATGATTTTAAGCTCTGCTCTCTGAAGATCACTGACATCAATATCATCCAGTAAGCTTCTATTCACGCCAACACCCTTGTTGCACTGGGACAGTTTATTTAACAACTTTGCCTTGAGCTTGAGACAGATAGCAATGGCTTTCTTTGCCCTGTTCCACTTAGAGATGTGCTCTATCGTCCAAGGTCGAATGTCTCTGCTGTCTTGGTTACAACATGTACCTTAACCTTTACGTATTTCTGGATCGTCTGCTGAGATTTGTGTTTAGTCATTACAGTCATTTGAAGGAAGGCTTTCCTTCCAAAGAAATTCTGGTCCTGTCAACCACATTGACTCAGACAAGTCTGAGACATTTATTCCACGTGATGCCACGTCTGCAGGATTGTTCGAACTCTGCACATGTCTCCACTGAGAAGGCTGTGTGTGTTCTCTTATGTACTGCACCACGATTGGCTACTGAATATGTGAAACCGTTTTGAGTCATTGGCTATGTAGCCCAGTCACGATTTTACTGTCTGTCCAAAAGTACTCTGTGATATTCTCGTGTCGCAGTTCTCTTTGCAGAAACTCACTCACTCTCCACGGATACCACGGCTGCTGTTAACTCAAGCCGAGGAATTGTCACAGATTTTAATGGAGCTATTCTAGCCTTTCCCATCACAAATGCACAGTGCACATGGTTTGCTTAGATCAACGAAGCGCCAAGTATGAAGATTGCCCATAGCCAGAGTTGCTTGCATCTGCAAAATGGTGCAGTTCAACACATTTCACATTTGTAAAGTCAGGAGGTTTGAAGCATCTTGAAACCTGTAGGTCATCTAGTTGCCACAACTGACATCTCCATTTCTCCCACTTATTTCAAATGTCATCGGGTAGAGGTTAGGTCCCAGTCGAGTTGATCCTTGCAAGTTTCCTGGAGAATCTGTTTCCCTAACAGAAGCACCGGGGCAATAAATCCAAGAGGGTCATATATAGAGTTTATTGTAGACAGTATGCCTCTTCGCACAAAGGGTTGGTCCTTTAAATGGATTCTGAAGCCAAATGTGTCTGATACAATACACCAGTTGACTCCAAGAGTTCTTTCTACAGGTAGGGAATCACACATTATGTCAACATCGCTGATCCTTTTCGCACAGTCCTCGGGTGGAATCGACATGAGAACTTCTTCGAATTTGGCGCAAACTTATGCAGATTCAGAGCTCCTTCCTTACACAGATCTTTGCTTTTCTTTATGAGGTTTACTGCTTCGTCAACAGTCGCCACTGATGTCAGCCCATCGTCAACATAGAAACTGTTTAGCACAAAGTCCGCTGCTATTGCTCCATGACAATGTTAGTAGTCTGTAGCCAATTGTCTGAAGGCAAAGTTAGCACAACCAGGCGATGAGGGTCAGCAAAGAGATGAACAGTCATTCTGTAATCACTTGGCTCGCAATCAGTATTATCATCATCCCACCAGAGTAATTATGCGTGCTTCCTGTGCTCCTCATTCACATGGAACTGATGAAACATCCTTCCACATCACATTGGATTGCAATGTGTTCTTTCCCTAAACCTGCACAGCACTCCGTCATGGTATTAGTGAGATCGGGTCCCTTTAGGAGATGATCATTTAGCGAAGCACCTTTGGATTAAGCACTACAGTCGAAGGCGACCGAATCTTTCAGGTTTCATGCTATTGTACACTCCGTGATGTGGAATGTACCAACCGTCATTCGCATCATAAATAGGGATCTTCTCCATGTGACCCTTATCAATCATGTTTCTCATGAATCCACAATAGTCACTTTCATATCTGGGATTCTTCACAAAGCGTCGCTTCAGCTGCATCAATCGTTTCATGGCGGCTGGTCGGTTGTTCGGTAAATTTGGTTCCTTTTCCTTGAAAGGCAGGGGCATTTCATAGTGTTTATCTGTTAGTTGATGTATTCCTGTATTCAAGATCTTCAGGAATTTGCTATCATCGAATGACAGCTCAATGTTGGGAGACTTTGAATCATTGAAGTCAAGTTCCATCATTGATACAACGTCTTTAGGGGTTATGACTTCTTGTACAGAGCTCTTCATGGAGAGATATACTTCTCCAACATGGATTCCACCATGAGGTTCGCTGAAGTTCTTGTGGAATTTCATAGGTCATAATTCGATGACTGAAACCTATCGCATCGCAGTTCTGGATCTCCTCCTGATCAATGATTCCCACTACACCCCATCCAAGGTCTGTCAACTGGCCGTATGGCGAGTTTCCCTTTGCAGAGGAGATAACCTGACCTGGTGTCAATGCTTGCGGACAGTTGTATCCTATCAAGAGACCAACCTCGACATCACACAAAGGGATTAATTTACTTGCTAGTAGTGACAGATGTGGCCAATCTTTAACTTTAGCTGGTGTTGGGATATGATCCCTGTTTGCAGGCATTATGTCCCTTGAATAGCTTACAGGAAGTGAAATTTTAGACGAACGGTTAAATCCACGCACCTGCAAACCACTTATCTTATTGCTTTGGATAAGTTCATCCTCAGCTGACATGGTGGACAGTTTCAGTTGAACAGTGGGGCGGTCAGATTCAGAGCGTCGCTGGTCTGTTTAAGCACAAATGAGGTATCAGACTGGGTATCGAGAAGAGCATAGACAAGTCTCTCTATCTCTGGATTGTCATGGTGGGAAAGCCACACGGTACTATCATTGAGCACTTATCACTG